AAATAAAGAAGAGTATCAAACACAAGACTTTGAACTCATACCACACCATACCCGAATGCAAGACATGCATACACATGCGTAGGCATGCATAGGCCGCACGATAAGCACTTGTTTACAACAAATAATACAATTAGACTTTAGACCTAAGCCACAAAACATGAATATGTTATCAACTTAACTAATAATATATAACCCATAGGATAATACGAAAACATATTCATTAAGTATGTGAATTTCTTTTCAACCATTCCCTTCCTTTTACAGGCTAATGGAGGTGCCTTTAAAGTACGCTATCTCAAGACAAAAATTGTCAAAATCGGAACCTAACCTAACCTCAGATGCAGAAAATGTGTACTCCAGCGGCTATGGCTTCTTTTTACCGAAAATAATGGTCCATCTGTAAGATATATTGGCCATATACAAGTATGTACTACATAAAATGTTTTTCGTTAATTTAGAAGATTTAATAATCAATATGTCGGTATATGAGTTATCGTTACAAAATTGCAGTGAAAAATGTTGTCGAGTATATTTTAGAAATGACAAAAGTTAAGGCGCTCAGTCCAAATTATCTCCTACTCCAACAATTTTCAGCTATTTTGACTTTTCACCTGATTTCAAACCGTTTATATGGGTTGTTACATATACAGTAGTGAATGAGCTGACTAGCTATGCTGGGACGATTGGATGGGAGGACATAAACCGGTTTAGGTGTTCATTCGTTTGTGCAACTTCTCCTTGCCAATTTGCTCAGAAGACAGCTGTCTACCGGTGTTTCTGATTGATCTAATTAACATCCTAAGCAACTTCATATTTCTATTTCGTCCCGTGTAGTTTTTTCGGGTCGCTTTTCACAAATTGAACTGTTGAAACTATCATTTGAAAATCTGAACATCTTGGAGGGGAGGATATATGTTCGCTATTTGCAAATACTTGTATATTTCATGACAATATGTAAGAATATATACCCATTTATACACATTCATAATAGTAAATTGAATCAAATTGGAGCGCGGATTGTATGGCTTTACGGTGGGAGATTACTACAAACTCAAATGTCTATGAAATGCCTTTTATGACCTTTTCGCAATTAAGCAGCATGAGGGCACTGTGTGTGGCCTTTTTAAGTTAAAGACTGCAATTAAATTTCTTTAAAGGCTTTTCGTCGTTAAAGCAAATGACAGAGACGGGTATAAATACGAGTACACTGGCGGCCAAAAAATTAGCACTGTACAAAGTTTGAATTTAAAGAAAAACGGTTTTTGTTGTAGCGGAGTATTAATAATTTTAGGTCCGCAACAATTTGTCTTTTTAACAGTTTTGGAGGAATATGTTTTAATTCAAAAATATGTTTGGTTGTTCCCCCTCAGTTGTTTGAAACAATTTCGGTTCGCCACCTTTGCCTGTTTAAATGTATAACTGCCTGAAAGTTAAATTAAATATATTTGTAGTGAATTCAAATAAGTATTATCTGCTTTTTCGTGATGATTTTTATAAAACTTATTTAGCTTAATCATCTTATATTCTTTAGAGCATTGGACTAAAATATATCATAAGTATGCGGTGTAGAAGTATTTTGTTGAGCTCTAAAATTAATATAACATTATTTCTAATGATCTTCACAAAATATTTCTTTCCCTTTTCTCCGCGAGAAGAAGCTTTTATTTGATGGTTGTCATATGGTCTATCTACTTCACACTTCAAATAAATTATGCATAACTTAAAAATTGCTTGAAAGTTGTTAATATAATATTACAAAACTATTAATTCATAGGGTTGCCACCTGTTTTTAATTGGTTACCATTTTACAATTTAGCGTGTATCAAATGTTATAGAAAAATGCCAGATATAAAAAGTGGTGGTTTGCACGTGGTTGCCTGTTGGTCAAATGTTTAAAGAAGCAATTTTTATTAATTTAAAAATGTAATGTCCAGGTATTAAAATTATTTGCAATTTATTTATTTAAAAATTACTTTTGTTGATGCGATTGCGATGGAGCCTTTTTTTTTTTGTTTGTATATGTATATACTCGTAGTTTACAGGTTTTAATTGCGTATGTCCGCTTATTATTATATAAGCTGATGGCCTATTATTATTCAACGTGTATGGGAGTTATGTACAGAAACTACAATAATATCATAACTTACACATTAATAATAGTCACTCATTGCCGCCAAGCGCTCGTTGATGTCGCAAGCTGAAATTACAAAAATACTAAAATATGCCAAAAATGCTACAGCTAAGTCGAAAATTAACTGCGAATGTGCCAGAACCGACCTACTCTAGCACCAACACATTTGCAGTTACAAAATTCCTTAACATTGAAGGGCATCGATGAAGAGAAACTCCTATGCTAACTCTGTACACAAAAATGAAAACAACTACCGCTAAATGGAAAAGTGCTCAGCTATTAAATAAAAGTATGCTGTAATTGTGATTGCTCTTTCTTTTTCCATTGGCTTTTAGCAGAGCGTTTGTTGGGTTGTGACGAGTATGGGTCTAGTGTAATGATGTTATGAAGCGTTTCATCTGAGCACGAGGTTGAAGACAACGTGCTCACTTTCACCGCCTGAAAGTATGCTTCTATAACGTCCTAAGCGCTTACGTGTTTACTGATTCAAGGCCTGCTGTAACAGAGTGTAATAAAGTGCGTGAGCGTAACAGAGCAGCGAGAGCTCATAGCGTACATATGACGTAAGCTATATGAATTATATACTTGTATGTGCACAATATATAAATTTACTTATATACTAATATGTATTTACACTAAACTACTTTTATATACTCGTGTTAAATCCACGAAGTGCCGGTTACTACAGGTGGTGCGGATGGAAATCAGCTGATGGCGCGTGACCGGCAAAGCAGAAAGTTATGGCCTTTTATGCTGAATAATACGTATATAGTTATACTTATTTACTTGTTACTAAATGTACGTACGTGAAAGCCTTGTCGATGGCTGTGGCAGATACCTCGATAATTTCAGCATGTAGTAGGTTTATGAATAGTAAAATGTGTATATATGCTTAATTCGATGTTATCATTAAAAATTGTTTTCAATAGAATTTCTCAAAATATTATGTTAGGGAATGAAACTGTAGTTCTCTTTGCATTTAAACTCAATGAAGGTGGCTCAGCAACACCGACGGAGTTAGTACCGTAATAAAATTTTTATAATTAATATATTTTTAAGGTCAGGTTAATTAATTATTATTATTGTTTCATAAATATTATTAAGTAAAATTAATAATAAAGGGACGATCGACTTATAACTAAATGTTTGTGCCAAAGAGCTCGAAATGAGTTGCTTTGAATAGGTAAATAGCTAAATGATTTAAAATAAATAAAAAACTGTAGGACCAACGAGTATCCATTTTTAATTTAAAGATCATCACAATGGTTTCCAAGGTCCGGTCCTTATAACTTTTGTCCAAAGGCTATTATGACATCTTACTCTAACCTACACGAAGTTTTAAATTACTTCATTGGAAGATTTTCTCACCTTCATCAAAAAAAATTAAATTGTTATAACTCTAACCATATACTTACCAAAATATAACATTGTGAGTTATTTAGGACTGGTATCAACGGATTTTTGAAGTTGGTATGTTGACCTAGTTCGATTTTGAAAAAATTCTCCATTTAAATTTATATTTAAAACCACAGTTATTAATTAAATTTCGAAATAAAAAAAATATTTAATTATTCCCAGAATATTCTGAAAACCTTAAAAAATATCCGGTTTTAGAATAAGCTGACTTCAACCTATTTCAAAACAAAAAAAAATCAACGAAAAGCATGACTTATTTATTTTATATATATGTACAATATATGAAAATATTATTTACGAGTAAAGTATAAACATGTTTACATGGATAAGATACAATACATAACGGGTGCTCCAAGTAGAAGCCCGTTTTTTACAGATCACGCGTGAGTCATGTCAAGCTGTCAGATTATTTGAGTTTAGTATTGCTTGTCATTTTATTACAAAGTTTACAAATCGTTTGAATTTATTACGAAAATTCATGTTCTGTAAATGTCGCGCTTCACTCAACTTATGGTCAACATAATTGGCCTACTGGGTGTACTATTCGCAACACCATCTTGAGACCCAGCATTCAGTGAAGAATTGGTGGGCCGGTGTAATCAGCGGTTTATATTTCTTCAAACTATGACGGTGAGAACGTAAAGATCAATGTAGCCATGATGCCTGAAATTCAAGCTAGTGATCTAGGCGATATTTGGTTTCAACGAGATGGCGCCAGTTCCCATACATCGCATCAATGAATGGATTTATTGAGAGAACACTTCGGTGAGCAGATAGTTTCATGTTTGGGCCGGTCGATTGGCCACAAAGATGTTGTAATATCACACCGTTAAACTTTTTCCTGTGGGGATATGTAAAGTTCAAAGTGTATGCGAAAATCCCGCTTCGATTCAAGCCTTGAAGCAAAACATCCCGCCTTTCATTCGCCAGTCCCAGTCGAAATCCTCAAACGAGACATCGAAAATTGGACTCAATGGTTGAACCGTCTGAGATGCAGCCGCGGCCAACATTTGAAAGAGGGGATCTTCAAAAAATTAATGCCAAATAATGTTTTTTCGACTGATAATAAACATTCCCCATTAATTTTGAATTTTATGAAATGAATCATCCTTTATATGTATGTACAAGTAAATCTTGCTCTTTATTTTTATTAATAAGGTAAAGATATGTGCATATTAAATCACAAAGCGTCCCTGTTTCTCAATCCTGTTCTGCTCATTGCTCTCGCTCTCTGTATTCAACTGATTACCAATTCCGGTATAAAATCACATGCTGTCTACAATTGCAATAATCTGTCTCAGAACATCTTTTCCGTGCTCTCGCGTTTTCCCTCAGAGCAATCTAAGTAGAAATTCACCACAGTCGCTACCGTAAAAGTACTTTTTTGTTGCTGTTGTTATGTACGTCGCATGGCTTTTCTTTGGGACCAAATTGCTGGACCACTGTATAAGTCAGTCATCGTCGCGTTTTCAACACAACTAGTACATTCAACAGAAGGAATTATATTTGAAATCTATAAAACAACAACATTTGCTACAGTGGTGTGTGTACAGGTGTTTATAATGCATTTCAGTATGCCTATGAGTTAGATGTGCATTTTTGAAGATGCGCGCGAAAGCACACATTTGCATGTATATATAATATATAAATTTTTTTAAGTGTGTATGTATATATACAAGTATACGTGCTTATTTGTATATATTTATACGAGTATACAAATGGTTATATCAATGAATATTATGCGAGCTTTTTAAGGTTTATTGCCATTAGGACTTTTTTGGATTATATGGAGATATTTATAAAAAAAAACATAAAAGTATCGTTAGTGAAAGCAAAACGCTTGAATATACAATACATATATATATAAATAACACATATAGTAGCTACTCGCATACTAAAACGTGTATGTTTTTTAGGAAAAAATACAACAGCAACAAAAGATTTACATACGTTAAATTTTTGTCTACCTTGAATGACAGCTAGACACTGCGACAGACATGTAGGTCGACAGCTGCCTCTCCGGTGATGCATAGAGTTGCTAATTGCTTGTGACATATTTCGCATTTGCTGTCATATCTCCCACTGACAATAAATGTCGGTGTGTTGACAACAAAAATCACAGTATAATAAATCGAAAATATAAAAAATATTATATAACAAAAGCAAGCACACATATGCTCACATTTAATTTACTATCAAAGACGCTGTCGCTGAGCTACAGGCTGCCGTTTACGAAATTTTACCGTTAATAAAGCGCTCTTGTGCGGGCAATGCGTTCTTACTTCCAATTTGATAGCATGTCACCGGAAATGGGAGTGTAACGGTGTTTTTGAGACTTCCAACGGCGTGACGAATACTAATAAACATATTCTCACACAACTGCATATCAAAGAAAAAAGTAAATATTTAAGCAGGCAAAAAGTAGTCAGCCACTAATTGCATGTCCGTAGGTGTGTGAAAAATTACTTAATACTTGCGCTCGTGAATTTGTAGGATTGTGCGCGCCAAAAGTTAATTGGCGGCAAATGTTGATGAGAACGTTCACTGTAACGCAGCCATAACTCGGTCAGTCGGTCGGGCGAAGTCACATGTTACGCATAATTAATGATAAAAACAAACACGACAAGCTAACACACGCACGTACATTAATGAACAGAGAAATAAAAAGCTTGTATAACACGTTCGCAAAGTACATACAAACATATTATTATTGCATGCCCACAGCCGCAGGGCGTTCAAGAGCCACCACGTGACTGGTAGAAAAGGAAAGTAGCAATGCCTTTGAGGCTGCGCTTCCTGCTGAGCGTGCAATTGTAGTATTGTTATTGTGCCGTAAGCGCTTATACATATATATGTATTATATTTACGAGTATAGACACATTAATCGTATCCACTTTAGCTTTTGTTGCTATTCAATTGGTATTTGTTTTGCAGTTTTAATTACGGATAATTTATAATGGAGTGACCGATTCAAATAATCGCATAATACATACATACACCAATACACACAATAAATTAAGCAAAATGGAAAATGTGGAAGTTCGTCAATTATTATGTCGTCGGTAAAATACGAAATACATGTTATAAATTGACGATACACAATGTGGAGTAGTTAACTCATAGCAGCAATTATGTACAACAAACTGAAAGACTTGAGTGGAATAGTGTGTTACACAATAAGTAAATTAAATGAAACCAAATATAAGGTTGTCAAATATCTCCTTTCCGCTTTTTTGCTCTTCATTCAATGCTTTATAAAAAGTGTTACAGTGATCGGATTTAGTTAAAATATGCGCCGTTTTGTTCGATGATCTGTTTCCATCTAGACGGCAACTTCATAATACCTTCCTCGTAGAAGCCCCCCTTCTTATTTGCGAAGAATTCGGACAGCCACTTTTCACAAGCCTCTTTTGAGTTCAACTTCACACCACCAAGGGCATTCGCCATGGACAGGAACAGGTGGTAATCACTTGGCGCTACGTCCGGGCTATATGGTGGATGCGATAAAACCTCCCATCCGAGCTCCCGTAGCTTCTGACAAGTCATCAACGAAGTGTGTGGTCTGGCGTTGTCCTGGTGGAACACTACACCCTTCCTGTTGGCCAATTCTGGACGCTTCTGGTCGATCGCCTGCTTCAAGCGGTCCAGTTGTTCGCAGTAGATGGTAGAATTAAGCGTCTGGCCATATATGAGCAGCTCATAGTGGATGATTCCCTTCCAATCCCACCAAACACACAGCAAAACCTTCCTGGCCGTCAATCCCGGCTTGGCCACTGTTTGGGACGATTCACCGGCCTTCGACCACGACCGTTTTCTCTTGATATTGTCGTATGTGATCCATTTTTCGTCGCCAGTCACCATCCGCTTCAAGAATGGGACGAGTTCGTTCCGTTTTAGCAGCATATCGCAGGCGTTGATTCGGTCCAGAAGGTTTTCCCATCTCCTGGGCGATGTGACGAGATGCCATATGCCGGTCTAACTCGATGTATTCCAGGATTTGATCGGTATTTGTCGTGTCGTTTTCACCGGCTCTGAATTTTCGAAACCATTCCTCCGCGGTTCGAAGTGATAGAGTACCATCCCCTAAAACACCATTAATCTCACGGAACGTTTCTCTAGCGGGTTTGCCTTTAACGAAGGAAAACTTTAAAATAGCGCGAATTTCGGCGTTAGTGAACTCCATGTTTACACGTCTATAACTGTTGAACGCAATATCCAAACTAATCATGCATAGCGTTGTTTTGTAGGTTATGTCAAGACCTTTCAAATTATGTATAGTGTTGCCAGATACGAGCTTTGTAGCGCTTTGTATATAGCCGCGAAATTCAAAAGACAAAAAAGCGGAAGGGAGATATTTGACAACCTTATATATCAACCGATTTGGTGTTTACTCTTGTTTCTCACTTACCCTCACTTACCGAAATATAAATATAAAGTATACTGAAGGGTCGTTTCTATACAATAAGTGTATAGGAGTACCGGTACGATTTCAACAATATGTAGATACTCGGGTATGGTGTGTGTTCATTGATAAATACTATTTAAAGTAAAACTGATTGAAGAGAATACTCCTATTTAATATTTGGTCAGAAGAAGACTCACATCGATTTTGCAATTTTTTGAAGAAGAATTGCTAATTTTCAGGCTTGGGCGCAAATTTGGTTTACGGTTTGATTAACGAATTTACCCATTTGAAGTACCGATTCAGGGTGACAAAGGACTTGGTCTTAACATAAAAAAAAAAAAAAAGATTTACAGCTTGATAATCAGCTTGTTTGGTGATTCTGATCATCTTCATATTCTACCTACCAAAATTTTCAAAATTATAGTAATCACACCTTTATTAAATTTCTAGATTGCTGAGTGTAGGGTGACGGACGAAATACTAATTACCGAAATAAAATAAAGACTATAATACATAACACAATACGAAACACTCTGGACTGAATTTAACGAAAAGTCCACGAAGCGTTATGCTAGCGTACAGTTCTAAGAAGCGTCAGAAAGCTGGCGGGCAAACAGAAGAAATTCATTCTTGGACTGACAGCGGACACGAACGCGGCTACATATCCAGTTTTCAAGCGTATTTTTTAAAGCATGTAAAAATTATTTAAAATCAAAGTGCAAATATTATTATTCAATGAAAGGATGAGAATTGTACATATCTATTTTTGTGGATCCATTGGCATGTCGAGATGAATATATATGCTGTTTTTGTCGGTTATACAATAGTTAAACTCAATAAGATATCTTTCAGAAATAGTCGATGAAAATAAAACTAATTGAATTCCACAGAAGTGTTTTTAAAAACTGATTTTTTCTCACTATTTCACTTATCACTGCTGATAATACGATGTAGTGTTGTATGTGTAAGTTCAGCTGCGTTTACATGCAAAACAGCATTTAAAATCAAAAAGAAGGCACACATTACCACTACCTATACCGCTGTGAGGCTGCTCTTCGGTTCCACACATGAAGATTTGTTGTGAGGAAACCTGCTGTGCCAAGTTTTGTTGATAATGTGGCAGTTAGCTAATTGTAATGTATAGCGGGCAAGTCTCAAGAGGTAGTACGCTTTTTATGCGTTTTTGTTGCAAGAAATGTGATTTTGTTGTTGTTATTATACCACTGTGTTCCGTTTATTGGTCTGTTGTTAATGTTTTACACAAAACGAGCTTCTGTGACAAGCAAACACTGAGTAGAAATTAGTAGATTTTTTTGGTAGGTATATGTACATGTGTCTTCGTAGCGGTGTATGTAACCTGCAATAATGGTATATTTACTCATATATGGTCAAATGGGTTATAAAAAGCACACTTTTAATGGCTTATATGGCACAATAATCTCACAATATCCTTTCCGCACAGACACTCATACTCGTAAAAAATATACTCATATATGTAAGTATGTATGTATTGTACCTAACCTTAACAAAGGAAATTCACTCGGCCTCCCACTCTCTCCACTCCGATCTTTGTGCATAACAAGTCTGCTATGTAGACCCTTGATCCAATTTGATTGCTGTTAAGATTTTTTCATATTTTACTTTTCCACAGCAGAATTTTTTTCTTTTCAAACCGCTTTTTTCATAGAGTTCTAAAAAGACTGAGTTGTGGGTTACCATATATCTGTTTTTGTCTTTTAGAAGCAATGCTGGCTTGTTTCAGAATATATATTAAATAAAAGCCATTAGCTAAAGGTACTGTCGGCGATTCTAGCCGAGGATTATAACAGGTGTATGAAAATTTAGATTAAGTGTTGGTATGTTTGTATTGTGTCAAAAGGATCTTATTTTGAAGGCGACAGATTCGCATCTCTCAGTCCGGGTCAAATTTGATCCGATGGTGAAACATGGCCATACCGAAAAGTGCATTCCAAAAGTTCTTTGAGGATTAGAAAAAGCGTTGGCATAAGTGTATAAGATTACTTTGAAAGGGACAAAATAGATATTGATGAATAAATAAGTTATTTTCAAAAAATTCAAAATTCACCTTTTCCTTTGAACACACTTCGTAAATGGCGGCAGATTTAAATTTTGCGTCAATTTTGAGAC